AAAAAAAAAAAAAAAAAAGCAATTGCCTCAGCATATTTTAATTCTGAAATTATCCATAGCAGAGTAACTTTTGGACATAATAAAAAAATCATTTTAATTATTTGTCTATCTAACACTACATGCATTTTTGGATACCTTAGCATAATTTTATGCTGTGGTAATTAACTTGAAATGAAGTCTTTAGGCCTTATAATTTCTTTTCACTGTATTAATAAATGGTGAAAGCTGTGGCCTGTGGTTTAAGTTTCCAAAGAGCTGTGTAAGATGTCAGTCACTGCATCACAGGAAATATTAATATTACATTTATACCTCAATCATTCAATCTTATTTTTCTTCTCTTTTTCCTATTTATATTTAGTAAGTTGGCATCACTTGCTTCAAAAGATAACCATAACTGCTACGTCCTATGTTAACTGGTAAAAGCGACAGCAATTGTCTTCAAACTAAATTTTTAGATATGTAACTGAAGCACTTGTGATTTTTTAAAAGGACTTCCTTCTTAGCTTCTGATATCATAAGAACATTAAATTTCATAACCTTATGAGTGTTACATTTCAGAACCTTATAAAATTATATCCAAGCTTTGCAATTATTTTCTCATTTATGCGTTTTCTCACTTATGCACACAAACTTTGCAAGTTAAACAGGAAAGTTTAACACAAAGTTTGTGCACACAAACTTTACAAGCTATCATCTCCATTTGAAAAATAAAGAAAGGGCCCATAGTTAATTAATAACTCATGAAATCATGTTTATTTCCAGTTTAATAAGATGCTTCCACCTCAGAGCATATCCACACAGCAGACGGTTCATTCCACACAGTGGCAAATAGTTAAACATACACCTCTGGACATCACTTTGCTCGTCTCAAGTTGGGAAGTCAGCAAAGCTTCCTCACATCAAAACGGGGCAGCATGGGAATAAAAACTATGGCAAATCTTTTTCAACGTTCACATTCCAAATGTCATTACAATTATTCCAGTAACTCGAAACATTCCACTTCCAGAAATGACTGCTAATCCTACGGACAGCTAACTTGTGATTGCAACAATGGAGAGCAATATTACCACTGAGTCGGAATCCAAATGGCCACTCCCAGTGCTAAGGAAATTTCCCTCAGGAAAGCAGGCTGTGGTCCAGAGACACAGTCAAGTAGCAAAAACACTCATTAGAAAATCGCGGTCTCTGAAGTTCAGACAACAATGCTAAAATGTTATCTTGTTGTCAGTCAAGTGACCCATTCATGTAACATATATACCTATTTGCCTTCCTTTAATAACCACATCCTATCGATTAAAATGCCTAACATACTAGGGCCACAGTTCCAAACCTTATTACCAAAATGCAAGATACTAACAGATGTTCTACCAAAAAGAAAAGAAAAGGAAAGAAAAGAAAAGAAAAAAAAAGAAAAGAAAAGAAAAGAAATTCCTTGGATAAACAATTTAGGGAATCAGGCATATCTTTTTACCTTTTGCAACATTAATGGATCTGAGACGTCCTACATAAAGAAATATATAGACTTTATTTAGTGTTTTCCCCACAGTTGTATACAGAATACTTTCAGAATAGCATGACAGGACAACATTGTATTAGAAAGTAAATGCGATACTGTAGAAAACTTCTGGATTACGATCAGGCCTCTTAAGTTCTGTTTTTCGGCCTGTCATAACCTAAGTATATAATCTTGGACACATTCTTAATTTTCACAGGGCTTCAGTTTAAGACCTGATCTAGATTCCCTGTACTTCTAAAATTCATGTCTGTTCAAGTGGTATCACCAAAAAAATAGTACATATAAAGTTTTCGAGTAGCTCGAAACTTAAAGCTTAAAACTATATAAACTCTGCCTCTTAAAAATTATACAAAACTGTTTGTTTGCTGTTTACTCATTCTGAAAACTGTGCTTGTCAATTTTTTCCCCTAAAAGATATCGTGTTGACAAGCATATGACAGTTTTAATGTGGCCCCATTGAAATGCACCCCTTTTCAAAGTCACTACATTTTTATGACTTGTATATTCCAATCATTTTAAGAAAGTTGCCAAACAGCTTATCATTTCTCCAGGACACAAAGGCAATTAAGCAATTTAACACAAGCTCTGGGTGACTAATATTCACATTAAGAAAGATGAGCACATATCTATATGGAGAGGAGAAATCCCAGATGTTCGAGCCAGGCAGCCCTGGCTAACCCACCATGTGGGGACGAAACACTGCTTTCTCATCAGCTACCTCTGCTACATCACGGGACCTTAATGTCCAAGAACTGAGAGTTCACCTCTATTCCTCCCAACTACAAACAGGGCACTATAACAGAAGAAGCATAAGTGTTAGGTGGATAGCGAGGTATTCTGGGTCTCCTAGGGATAAAAGCGGGTCGCTGCTGAGATTCACTCCCCCCCAGTGGGCTTACAGAGAGGCCCATGGGATATCTGCATGTGCAGTAAGACTCAGGTCATGCAGCTCCCAACTGTCCAATCAAAGTGGTTCCATGGTGATGTCTGAACCACGAGGGAGGTCCCAATCTGGACACTATAAAACAAGACGCAGACCACAGTTTTGTTTATTTTGTGTGTCTGTGCCCTTCCTTTTGCTCTCCCTTTGCTGTGACAATGAGTGTGGTCATCATTTGTGGCGTATGTATACTGCTCTGTAAACCTATATCTTGCTCTTGCCCTATAATCCTGTCTTTCTCTCCTCAATAAACCTCATTTTTATGCTTGCCTTACTTGGATGTGTCTGGTCATTCTTCAGCCATGAACGCACTAAGGACCAACATTTCAGACTAAAACCTGACACAAGTTTCTCAACAAAACAGTCGTGGAAATTTAAAAGCTTATTTAGTTCAAATATAACACATATAAATAGACTTTAAAAATATAGATTCAAATCTATCACATTACCATTTGTTGATGGTTTACTACAAATCTGAACTGAAGAAAATACCTCTTTTGATTTTTCCTCCTTCGTAAATCTTCCAAATTTTTCTATCATTTCAGCTACAAATATAACATCCATTTTGTCAGAAAAGTTGGCTGCTTCCACAGTGTAAGCCAGCAATTGTCGAGCTGTTGCCACAGCATTTGTAAGATTGAGGGGCATCTACATTTAAAAGGCAGAAATGATCAACAGAATAATCATTAGCAAAATGATCAAACAAATTCTGACATTTTAACTTTGCATTTTAAAACATAGCAATGAATTTAAAAACTCTTTATATTGAATTATCATGGTCTCATTAAAAAAGTCTTTTTCAAACCCAAGAAAACTAGAATTTTAATGGAAATGAACTTCAGGGAATTTTTTTTTTAATTTGGAATGAAACACTGTAATTCATAAAAATGAATCAAGTTAACATATTGTACCATCTATCTTTTCTCTGCTTTTCCAAATTCTACACATATCTCAATCTCAATTGCTTAATAAAGCTTTTCCCGAGTATTCCAGCCGGGAGTGATCAATACCTCCCCTGGAACTCCTACCACACAAAAGTAAGAACTACTTATTTAGCAGTCGTCTTCATTGCCATGCATTGCCAGTAATGTATTACATTTGTTTATCTATTGACTCAAACACTGACTTAGCACCAACCATTGCAAAAACCACCATATACTAGGTGCTAAGGAACAAAAGAAAATATATTACACAGAAGCCATCTTCCACTTGCTTATAGTCTGGTAAGGTTTAAAAAGACGCACAGAAACAAAGATAAAGGTATATGAGTAGTACAAGTCTTCTAAGGGATTCCTTTTGACAAAGGAGTTATAAAAGGAATCCAAGAGGTGACTTTCCGTGTGTACTTAAAGGATGGTTGGCATTTTGCCCAGTGGAAACAGATGATAAAAGTATTCAAATAAAGGTACAAAGGCAGGCAGTGACTGGAGAGGAAGACGGACTCCTGAGAGGGCCCTGACTACGGGTTAAGACTGATCTGATCCCGAAGAGAGGTAAGTCAATGGAAGTAAAAACACCAAATTCTTTTACTTTACCCAGTACTTAAAAAAATCTTATTTAGGCCAGGCGCAGTGGCTCACGCCTGTAATCCTAGCACTCTGGGAGGCCGAGGCGGGCGGATTGTTTGAGCTCAGGAGTTCGAAACCAGCCTGAGCAAGAGCGAGACCCCGTCTCTACTAAAAATAGAAATAAATTAACTGGACAACTAAAAATATATAGAAAAAACTAGCCGGGCATGGTGGCACATGCCTGTAGTCCCAGCTACTCGGGAGGCTGAGGCAGGAGGATCGCTTGAGCCCAGGAGTTTGAGGTTGCTGTGAGCTAGGCTGACGCCACGGCACTCTAGCCCGGGCAACACAGTGAGACTGTCTCAAAAAAAAAAAAAAAAAAAATCTTATTTATTTGGTTTGAATATTACATTTTATTCATGACCTGAGTGAATTTGAAAATTTTCTAGTTACCTGATTAAACATATAAAGAACTCTAGTGACATCATTTGCATACTGGCAGCGAGAATAATCATCATCTGCCCAAAAGCCACCTCTATCACATCTGCGCCAAGCCTTTCTCTCATCCTGTGGGTTTCCGGGATATATCCCACTGCCGTGGGTGTTCCGAGTACACTGCAGATACGCAGTGATGCCCGCCAATGTTCTGGGCCACCTAGAGAGACGAGACAAAATAGTATAAGAAAACCTACATGACAGAGGTACATCAAGTATAGTTAACAGTGAAGGAAAAAATCAAGGATTAGGACACGTCTTGTCAATGCAACCCTGCTGACATGGATCACCGAAACCGGGTTGAGCGAAAACTTTGTTATTTGATCTCTATTTCTCCAAAACCGGGAATGAAACTGAACACATTTAATACAATTATAGCTGACACATATCACAGGAACCACTAAATTATAATATCAGTCACACCAAAATAGAATTCATTATCAAAAACTACACAAATAGATCAAGCAACACTAAACTAAATCTTATCAGTGGGCATTTAATTGTATAATATTAATATCTTAAGGAGTTTCAAAAGATAAATAATTCATTAATCAGTTAAACATTTAAATATTTCTTCTATACTTAAAAGTGTAAAGCACTCAAAAACTATGAGTAAACCAGAAAATCCACCATAGGCAGTAATCATACTGGATGATTTTCAAAAAGATGTTGAATGTAACAAAATCGACAAATGTTATGTATGTCGTTTTAAAGAATGCAATATAAATATTATAGATCAATGGTTAATCTACATAAAAGACTTACTCATTGGCAATAGTAAATGTTGATTTCCATATACTCATGTCAAAGATAATTATTTTTTAAGGACAAAAATAAAAGTAATGACAAACTAGCTGAGCTAAAGAAGTTATTATTGCTTCTTCACCTTGGATTTGAAAGAATAACACCAAAGGGTCTTCTCACCCTTGAAACACTGGGGTTACAGCCAGGAAGCAATAGAACCAATCAGAGACAATGCCAACTGGGTATTAAATGATCTTTATGTTGCTTTAAAAAGTGACATATTTCCCTCTGTTTATATCAACTATAAACTCATTATTAAAATCCCTGAATATAAAAATTATCAATTAAATAATAAAGATGTTTTAAAACAAATTTGAAAGGTGAAGTATAAAGTAAAAGTTGTTACCTCCCACAAATTCTAAACTTCCTACCAAAAAAAAAAATGTAACTCATTTTGCTTATCTCAATAGAATTCAACAAACCCACCTGGGATTCCAATGGCTCCCCAACTTTTAGGCTACCCAACAGCTTTTATTTCCCAAAGTCCTTCTTGCTTAATTGCCAGAAGAACTAAATAGGGAAAGAAAATTAGAGATGTGTTTCTCCTAGTTGTGATGCCTACTAAACCACCAATAGTTAAAGTGACTTAGCCATAAAACCTTCCAAAGCTCATTCACTAACAGAGCCCTTGAAAAAAACAGAAAATACCATTAACCTGTTTGAATTTTGGACTATCTTAGCAGGATATCCAAAATGTCTCCCTAAAGCAGTAGTTCTTAACTCGTACAACAAAACCATTTGTTAAAAATGATTCTACTTTCAGAGACTCTTAAATCAAAAGGTGTCAGATAACAGCTTGGGCATCCTTTATTTTGTCTGTTCACTTCCGTGTATGACTGATATCATTCCAGAGGGCAGTCCTCAGATAGACATATAAGGATATATAAATGTATACATGTACAGTTCTCAAATTTTGTTACTGAGGACAGAAGACCAATAATGTGCCTTTGAGAATAAAGATTTGCGGCAAATCGAACTTTTCCAGCACTCTCCACATCACTGACCTGAAGTCCCCTTTATTGTTTACCACCCTCTCGGGAGGACAGTACTGTGCAGAGCTCTCCAATACCACAATATCCACAGTTCTCGTATTGTTCCCACGTTTGGTCTGGACGTGACAGCCCCAATTTCCAGTAGATCCCGCCTGAATATTAGAAATGGTTAAGGCACTGCATGAAGAAAGATTTTAAAAAGAGAAAAAATATGATTAGGCAGAAAGAGAGACGATATGGGATTCAATCACTCATTTAGCAAATACGTCTGCAAGCACATTGTGGGCCAAGCAAATAACAAAATGACCCCTCCTTTTAAGTCCTTCAGTGGAAAATCAAGACAAGCAAGGAAAGGATCCTTACAATAAATGACAAGGACAGTAAGAAAAGTATGAATAAAGTGCAAGGGCTCATAATGCGTGTGAATTCTCCTTCCAGAAACAGGGCAAGCCAAGCACTGTAGGGAGCAGGAATGGCAAGCCCAAAGGCAAAGACATCATGCTACAGTCTTCAGCAAAACCTGGAGACTTTTCCCAGTCACATCTACCTTTTCACAGATTCTCAGGAAAATATTCAAGCATGAAAAAAGGAGAATACTATTACCAAGTATGTAATTAAGAAAATATTTAAGGTAAAATATTTTGTGGAAGAAGGATTATACTACAGACAACCAGTTAAATCTATAAAAAGATTTACTAAATTACCAGTCAGTATTTTCACCAAAAAGAAAGCTTCTATGTTAAAGTATACTTCAACTCATAAAACAGCTGTATTTCTAAATAGCTGTCAGTAAATTCAATTTTCAAGATGAAATCATAATTCTCTAATATAAAACCTATTAATTAAGGAGTAAATACCAGAGCCTTCAATTAACCTGTATTCCCCCCACACGACCCATTGTGCTTTGCAGTTATATAGACACAAATGATAAGAAATAATTAGACAGAAAGCATGTATCATTTTAATTAACTTATAAAATTATGTCTTGAAGTTAATACACATTTGTCCGGTCTCCTGAATCTTTGATGGGTATAGAAAATGATCTAATAAAGAAGACTTGAGGCATTTTTATATTTTGAATCATCAAAGAAAATGTTTATTATCTTTACTAATTAAGTTGGGAAAATAAATCGATACACTATAATTAATATTTTCAAGATAGAATGACACAAAAAATAGTTTGACATTAAATTTAAATAACCAGAAAGTCTGTCAAACTTACTGACCTAGAAAGAGGTATATAGACAATTTTGGTAATGAAAATCATTCCTTAATCCAGAGGTTCACAAACTTTCTCAGTTCAATGAGCCTTCACGGACAAGATAACCTTTTCATAGTTCTGCTAGCCCCCAAAAATACCTCTGGTGGTTCCCACTACTAAATTAAATCCCCAAACTGTGCATCTAGGTCCTGATAACTTAGGAGCCATTTGAAAAAATAACACACATAAATTTTAAATAAAATGTTTACTCCATTCTTAAATTATTACACTACTTCCTAATGGGCTATGTGTGCCTGCTGGATGCTCCAAAATTAATGAAACCTCAGATTCAGATCAGACAACGACACTCATTTCTTGTTTGACAATGAAATTCACACACAGTACTTGCTTTATACCATAGTAACTGCCCCAAATCCACCATCCCAAAGTATGACACCAGCAAAGAAATCACTGTTTGTAGATTTCTTAGAAGATGAAACTGAAGCTGCCTCTTTCTCCTTAAATCTCAAAATCTGCAATCATTTTTCTGGATAACTTTAAGCAAAACTTTCAATGTCTGAAAGCAATCACTAGAATAACTTTTTCAGGAATTTTCAAGGCAGCCAGTTTGGACTCAAGGAAGAAATTCAATGTCTACATGTAAAGATTTTACCAAAATATCTGGTGAGCAATAATATCATATATATTCTTAGTCTGTTTTTGACATTTTATAAAGTTAATTAGAATTAACTATTTTGGTTCACCAATCATGGGGTTGACAGTTCAATGTCATATTCGTTTATATTAGTAGGTAGGGAGAGAAAGTATCTTAAAACGTAGAATTAATCACAAGATAAAAGAGTAAAAATCAGGTGATTCCTAAAAGCAAAAATATAAGCTAAGCAGCAGGAAATGGTTAACAATTAAGTTTGGCACTAAAAGTTTAAATCTTCCCTCTAAAACATTAAAGAAATCTCTAACTTTTTAAACATATTTCTTTTATAGTAAGCTTTTTCTTCCAAAACCGGATGGAAAAATGGCTATTTAATTTTAGAAGATGAATAACAATCAGGAAAAGAAAATGTCAGATGTTTGTATTTTTAAATGCAAGAAGATAAACTATGAATTCAAATTCTACTAAACATTACAACTCCAAAAGGATCAATAAAATCCATCGATACAATTCATCATCTAACAAAGTTTACCTTGCAATCTAACAAAGTTTACCTTGCAATCAAGGAGCAGTTGTGAATCATGTTCTTTTCAACAAAGATACCTTGCGATTCATCAGTTTCAACTACGCGCCCGTCCTGGTACCACAGCACTTGCATGTCCTGATCAATATACGAAGCCATGCACTGGAAAGGAAGGCTGTCTCCTTCGAAAACAACCTGACGATGGGACGGAGTCATGTAGAAAGACGGCAACTCCAGGGGAGGATCTAGAAACAGTAAAACAAAGGTTCACTAAGCAAACACAGTACTATTTTCATACCCCATAATGCAAAGTTATAGAAATTCTATGTAAAACTATAAAAATAGGAAAACAAATATTCTTCAGTAACCAGAATTCCAATGCTAATACCAACAAGGCTACTACTGAGTTAGTGGGTCACAGATGAAAACAAAATAAAGCAAAATTAAAATGAAACCATTTCATATTCAGTTCTGACATTTAGTATTGTTCCTTTTGGTTATATCACCAGACTATCAGATGATCACAGAAAGGAACTAAAAGAACAAGCTGTAAAATTATACTTAAATCTAGAGAATGGAATCTATGATTCATAAAGGCTGATATTTATAATTTTAAAATATACTTTGGAGACTGTATTATCTTTGATTAAAACACTGGTTTCTGGTTTTAAAAGTAATGCATATTCATTGTAGAAAATTTACAACATTTAAAGAAAAAAGGAAAGAAAATAATCTTCTAAAGTCCATGTATTAAAATAAAAATCACTTTTTAAAAGATGATATATTTCCTTCCAGCCAGAAAAATAAAGGCAGAGATTTTAAATACATATGCAAAAATGTACACAAATATCCTGGCTCATTAAAAGTCTCTAAAATATTTAGTCCACTTATCTAACACAACAGTTCTAGATTTAGCCGTAGTATATCCTAAAGAATAATAGCAAGTATGTAAAAAATATATACAAAGAAATTTATCATAGCAATATTTATAGACTGAGAAATTAATAAGCCACATTTACAGTAACAAAGAAGTTGTTAAATTATGGCTACATCTATATAATGGACTCATATGCATCTATTTTAAATAAGAAAAAAGTTTACATTATTTCAACTTAAAAAGTTACAAAATATCTTTAGAGTATGATGGTACTTTTGATAAAATAGATTAATAGAAAAAGCACAAAAGATGATGCAAAAAGGTCTTAACATTAGCTATTTTCCAGTGATAAGAACATGGGCTTTGTTTCTTTGCTTTTAATTCTTTGTTTCTTTTCATAAATCTTAATTTTCATTCAATGAGCATATTTTACTTGTGAAACAACAATGATAATAAAGACAAAACGAAAATATGATAGGACTGTTTATTTCCAAACACAAAGACTAAACTGGGATCTATTTCCCTCCATCATTTTAGGACTATCTTTGGTTTGCAGGGGTTTTTGTGGTTTTTTTTTGTTTTTTCACTTAATATGTAGTAAACGTTATTTCCCTCATGTCTTCAGATAGTCTTTAAAAATCATGATTTTCAACAGTTGCATTCATTGAATGGATGTGTCACAAGTAATTAAGCCAATGCCCTATTTTCAAGAATTTATGATATGTTTATACATAAAGTTTGAAGATTTACATACGCAGCTGATAATTTCCTAAGAATTAACTCCAAGATACAGAATTACTGGATCTAATTGTATCAAATTTTTTAAGAATACTGACACATATTGCTGAACTATACTTCAAAAAGGCTGTATCAATTCACATTCCCACCAAAAAACACTGTGTGTGCATCCTGAGATTTTATTACAATCAATAAATTCCTACTTTGTCAACTGAGAGAAAATCTGAAGATCTATGTGATTTTTTAAAATCGGTTTGCATAAAGAAAGCTACTCAGAACCTAATATCAGTTACCTTAAAGACCAATCAGAAAAAATGATGCTTTTTAATCCATCTGGCGTAATTGTTGGCATAAGCTAAGTATTATCAAATCCACAAAGATTAATGACTGTACTCCAGTTCCGTCTAAATGTAAAGAGAATCTTACAGTTTGTCAAGAAAAACACAGTAGCAAGTCAAAATATGGTTAAGTACTTTCTCCACTTGGATTCCTCCCTTACCGCATGTCAAGAGCTCCTGTTTCACGCCTGTGACTGGCTGGGCCTGCAGAGACTTAGGATAAACACACCTGGTGTCCCGCACGGTGATGTTCCTCTCCTTTACCCAGCGATGCATCCACAATATGTTACAGTCACACAAAAGATACTCAGTCTGGAATTCTCTGTAACATATAAATACAAATTCGAGATTATAGTGAATAAAATTAAATAGCACTTTTGCTTTATACTGGTTCACACTTTGGGTGGCAAGCACAATACCACTCACCCTTATCTGCCTGCGGCACATACCGCCAACTGGTGAGCTTCCTTTCCGAGGAGCTCACTTGCAGAGTACTGGGCCCCAGCACTGTTCCCCATGATCCTGGGACTCTGCTTTTGATCAAAGTTGCTATGCAAAGACCACTTGTCAGATATCCCTCTTCTGTGCAATGAGCTCCTGAACCTCAGGGTGCTGGAATACCAAATCCACATCCTTTTTGTCTATCAGGTTTCTACCCATTTATCATCAAGTATGTGGCATTAACACTGGATCTTGAAGCATTCCCCAACTTTCCAGCATCATTGCCATGTTCTTGGCCTAAATGCCTATAAACTCTGTTATTTTGACAGTGAAATAGCAACATAAAGGAATATAGGACTCTTTTGTATGGCTATATTTTATATGCCTAACTAGACTGTAAGCTCCCCAAGGGTGGGGACTATTTCTGACGTTTTTCTGTTATGCACCGAGTGACACCATTAGATATTTACAAATTTAAGAGATAAAGACTCAACAAATCAAAAACATCTCATACTTGACATGAAAGAAAACAGAGAATTGTCTTTATATGAGACAAAAAGCTTTTTAATTTGGCATTTGGATGTAAGAATTAAAAAGGATATACAGAGCTCAGATATATGCATGATAGGTTTTTTTTTTTTTTGAGACAGAGTCTTGCTCTGTTGCCCAGGATAAAGTGTAGTGGTGTCATCATAGATCACTACAACCTCAAACTCCTGGGCTTAAGCGATCCTCCTGCCTCAGCCTCCCAAAGTAGCTGAGACTACAGGCATGTGCTACTGTGCCCAGATAATTTTTCTATTTTTAGCAGAGACGGGGTCTTGCTCTTGCTCAAACTGGTCTCGAACTCCTGAGCTCAAGCTATCCTCCCACCTCGGCCTCCCAGAGTGCTAGTATTACAGGCATGAGCCACTGTGCCCAGCCCCAGTAATCTCTTAAATACTGACATTACTAAGCGCTGACTATCCATATGCCACCCATTATGGTAAGTCCAGATAATAAAAATAAATGGAAGAGACTGCCCCTGCCAACATGGAGGACATCATATAACAGGGGGAACAAAACGTAAATATAACTATATAAAATAGAATGCAATAGATTCTGTAAAAATACATCAACAAAGTGCAAAGAGCACATATAAGCATGTAAGTTTCTAACACAGCTAGTGTGCTGGCTCAGGTTTCCCCTCATTCATTTTGGCAGGGAAAAAAGAAAGAAGAAAGAAAAAAGGAGAGGGGCTGGGATGGAATACAGCAAAGAGAAAATAAATTTAAAAAACATTACCAGAAGGATGACCTGACTTACTTCTCATGCTAAGTATCACCTTCTGGTCAGTTCCTAACACTAGCAGGTAAAACCACTGGCAATATTTCCCCTTTTTTGGATAAAAATACTTTCCACATTCCTGCTACCCAGGATCTCAAAAGCCAGATTATCCTTTGGAGTCCTTTTTATTTCCTCATCTTCACAGAAATGGCTGGCTTGAGCTCACTAAATATGCAAAAAGGAGATGCTCCTGCTCAAAAGCAGCCTTCTGAACAAGAACGGTGGTGGCACTAAAAAGACAGACCAAGTGGAGTCTGATCCAACGTGACTCTCCAAGTGCGCACATCTGCCCACCGTGAGGGTGAGGAGCGAACCGAGAGCCTAACCTACTAGCTACATCCCAATGAGAACTCCAAAGTGAGATTCAAATGACGCGTGGAACTGAGAGGAGGGGAGGAGTCAGCATACAGCGAACAGAGGAATCTGGTGGAGAATTCCCTGGAAAAAGACACTCAATCTCACAAATTACTTGCAAGGAAAATCTGAAAAACATTTTATTTAACTACAAGTTCAATAAATTAGTGTAACTTATAGTTTGAGCTCTATTAAGGTTTATCTGAAAATAGTTACTTTTAAAAGTAACTCCTATGTAATTTCTCAGTTAACAAAATTGTGTTACAAAAAAAAAATCAACCAATTCTAAAGCTACAGAGAACTGTGTAAATAAGATCTTACATTGATTTCATAAAGCAGGCATTCTAGATAAACATTTCTGGAAATACTAGCAGTAAGTTGTGAATTTGGTTTGGAACAGGGGGTTACAGTATAAAATTAAATCTCTAAAGTATAAAATACTTGCACTACAAATTCTTTATAGGAAGGGATATTTTATACTTTGGGGATTTTACTAAAACATTTTCTGATTTGAACATAAAGTCAAAGAGAAACAATTACCAACTTATTTACTCTAAATACAGATTATAGTATTCTAAGGAGAAAATGGTTATCCTAGTCTGAAATCCATTATTAAGGCTTATTGTATGTTTTTTGATATACATGCTCCAGCTCTCAAGTGAGATTCTAATTTTTGCAAATTGACAAGACTTTCCTCATGAAGTCCCTCAAACCATATAATACATGTTTTTAATTTTCAAAAACAAAGTTATGATAATCAAACCAGGAGAAAAAATTCTTACTTACAAAGATCGTAATGAGCCAAGATAATCAAAAGTTCCTTGAGATAATGAAGAAAACAAATTCCCTGAAAGGTTTCTGGGAAAAAAAAAGAAAGAATTTCACTTTTAAAAATACAATTATATATCATTTTATACTACTTCATGTTTCTAAAGTGTCCTATCATCATTAAATAATGTTACAATGAATTCATGAAAGATGTTTTAATGATTATAAAGAAGGAAATAGTAAGTAATATTTCCTCCAACGTTGAAGAAGAAAATTACTCTTCACCTCATACAAATTGATAAACAAAACTATTAAAAATATATTAATGCTAGATAAGGATTTTTGTATCAAATACTAGGTGAGCCTAAATTCTGAATTCCCACTAGAATTACTCTTCATGTGCTCAGTCAGTATCATTTAAGAAAGCAGCAAATAAAAAGCAAATACAAGTAACAAATTAAGAATTAAAATTTAAAAAAATAAGAAAAGGAAAAGGATGGCCACAATAATCATTGGGGGCAACACAGACTGAAGAACAAGAGCAGCATGAAATGAGTTCAGGGTTTAAAATGAGAGATTTGGGATATAATTCAATGCTGGTCTTGGGCAAATTACTTAACCTCTCTAGTTCCCCTTTATATCATATGGTTTTAATAAATAACCTAAAGCTTGCAGCATTTTGCATGAACTAAACTTAGAATACCCTATGCCACAATTCGAGTAGTTTGTTATACCCATAATGATTTGATCAAAGTATTTCTTCCAAACTTGACTATGAGCTCTGAGGCTGGGGGTGTGGGAAGGCCCTGTGTAACTAATATACTAGATTACCTCTGACAGCTGGTAACATGCTGGAGTATAACAGAAGCTCAATGACAGTGGCTGACTGCTCAGGATGTACACCCACCTTCAGGAGGCTTCTAATACTAAAATGGGACTGACGGCTCTGGGAAAATGGCAGCAAGATCCAACCCCCATATGATCTAGTTTGTGCCTGCTCTAGTATTAAGAATGCATAGAATTTAGACTTAGAGTTCTCAACAAATGAGGTGGGTGCTGGGACACAGCAGAGGACGGGACAGAAGTCCAGAGGCTTTGGATGATTCTAACCTCTCCCTTGGATCTAGGCCGAATCCTTCACATGTGGGAGAGCGTAATGATTGGGCAGATGGATTTCCCAGCGGGAAGGGGGAAAAGAACTGATCTGGAACCTGGGAAACATCAACTGTTCCTGTGATACCTGTAGCAATGTATTCCCGGATGGGAAGACAGATACCACACAACTGCCGATTCTTCACAAATTAATATACAAAGAACTTCAGTAAGAACATCACTAGACTGAATTTTTTATACGTTTTAGAATTTTTTGAAATAAAAAGCCTGGATAAGATGGTCTAATCTTCATAGGAGGAACTGCCTAGGAACTTCAAAAACAAACAAAATAGAGTACTTTATAAGTTGAAAGAGATGCCCTTCCCCTTTTTATCTGACCTCTCAGAGTGGATACCAAATGTGGATTTTGAAAAAGATATTCTGATGGGAGTGTAAATCACGGTAACATTTTAAGAAAGTAACCTAGATGCAATTACAGTGAACAACTGTGCTTTTATAAAGCTATGTGAAATTATATGATTACTAGGATATGTTTAAAAAATGTAGGCTGGAAGACAAGAGATGGTAGGTATAATTAAATCAAGACTGGCTATGAGTTGCTAAATCTTAAAACTGGGCAAGGGGTACACAGAACTTCCTTATACGTACTATTTTCTCTAATTGTCTTTAGATATTTGCAAGATTCCATAATAGTAAGTTGGAAATATATATCTATCCTACAGGCCGGGCGCGGTGGCTCACGCCTGTAATCCTAGCACTCTGGAATGCCGAGGCGGGAGGATCACTTGAGCTCAGGAGTTCGAGACCAGCCTGAGCAAGAGCGAGACCTCGTCTCTACTATAAATAGAAAGAAATTAGCCAAACAACTAAAAAAAAATAGAAAAAATTAGCCGGGCACGGTGGCACGTGCCTGTAGTCCCAACTACCTGGGAGGCTGAGGCAGGAGGATCGCTTGACCCCAGGAGTTTGAGGTTGCCGTGAGCTGGGCTGATGCCACAGCACTCTAGCCCGGGCAAGAGAGTGAGACGCTGTCTCAAAAAAAAAAATAAAAAAAAGAAAAATTAACTGGGCATGGTGGAGTATGCCTATAGTCCCAGCTGCTCAGGAAGCTAAGGCAGGAGGATCACTTGAGCCCAGAAGTTCCAGGCTGCAGTGAGCTAAGATTGAGCCATTGCACTCCAGTCTGGGCAACAACAGAGTAAGACCCTGTCTCTTTAAAAAAAAAAAAAAGAGAGAGAGAGAGAGAAACATATATCTATCCTACAAATGTAAGACTTAAGTATAAACAAAGAATTGCATCTTACAGCAACAACCACTAGATGCTAGTATAAATAGTATTAGATATTTTCCCTTGGAGATCATGGCAGAAGGAATCACACTGGAGAACATGTCATTCTCTCGGTAAATCCCAATACAAACCAATTTGTCCTCAAGCACTAGAAAAGACTGCTCCTTGTTTGGTTGGACACCAAGTGAATTGGCTTGGATTTGGGGGTCGTATAAATTACACATATTTTAAAACATGAGAATCATATTCCAGCCCTGAGATGCTCACACAAAAAAAGCAAAAGGGAATTGAGAATGACAACAGCAACAGCAAAGTCACTGCTCCCATGTCACAAGAAGCTCACTGACTGCAGCGGCAGGTGACCCCCACCCCACCCTTTACGCTGTTGTTGCCCACTCCCTCACTTAATTTTTCTTTATTTACTTATTTTTTTCTAAACAGATATACTTGAATTTCTGTAAGTGACGTGTATAAGAGACATCATCTGCACACCTAAAGGGAGTTTACAAGAATAGATCTGTTAAAGGAGGGAAAAATGTAATCAAATGGAATTTCCATCAAGAGGAGGATGATTGACTAAATTATAATCTGTTCTATGCCTGTAGCCACTAACAAGCCAGACAAGCATGAACTAAATCAACATGTAGTCTCTTGAAAAGATGTTAATAATGTTGACAATAATTTTTTTTCTTAAGTGAGTTGCCAAGTCTAGTCCATTTTTAAAGCCTGTATGTGTACTCTGTATAGGTAATGGAAAATAATATATGAAAATCTATACACCAGATCATTAATACAGACTATCTCAGGATGATATGACTGAAGCGATGGAGGGGGATTTAATTTTTCCTTCGTATGGTTTCATTACTCAATAGCTTCTCAATACCACCCATAATTTTTTATATATAGAAAGTGCTTTATACAAACCTTTTACATACACACACACACACACACACACACACACACACACACACACACACACGCGCGCGTGTGTATTTTGTAAAAAGGAAACTGTATAAGGGAAGTTTTTATAAATATCACTCATTTCTGATGGAGAAATATTAAAGGTATAATTCTTAGGGGAAAATATAGGTATTAAATTTATCATAATTAATTTTTAAAAAAAGCAAAGCTTTTGATTTGTTGATCTGACAATTTCTCTGCAAATTAATTTCCTAAGTGCAGCACCGAGACTTCACCTAAGTCGATCGGAGGCTCCCCTCTCTGGTTGCCAGTTAGGAGTGTGGCTGTACTTCTCTGAGATAGTTGAAGAGTACTTCTCTATTAGCAAAGGTAGAGATCAATACACAGGTTTAATCAATTTTAAATATCTACCACACCTGTGTACTGAAGGCCTCTGACACATTTAAAGAAAAGTTTTTAGGAATTTTTAACCTAAATCTCCAAAGCCAATACTTGTTTCAAAATGATGAGATGTCTTGCAGCGAACGCCACGGGCTGTCTGCCTAGGTCCCACCACGGCCCTGCGGGGCCTTGGATTCCAGCCTCCTTGACTAAGAGGCCCACTCGGTGTGAGGTCCCTGGTTCCAGGGCAACCCAGAGAGTTGAGCTGAAGAGTACGCAGAGGAAACAGCTAGAACTGTGGTCCACTCTACCCACTTCTTTTGTACACCTTCTCTTTTGCGTGGGAAACAGTGAGAGGGAGCTCTCTTGTACTGCACGCTCCAATTTTAATCAGATTCTTTTTTCCACTTGTTGTTCTGAGAAAATGCTACTCTCCATGTCTGAAATACAAATTATCAGCCTTCACAACCAGCATACAGCCTGGCTCACAGAGCTCAGAAATCCGGGGATCGCTGCAGCCCATACAAAACGCTTGTTGTCCAAAGCTTCCTGATCCACAACTATAGACCTATGTCAATCCATGTTATGATAAGCAACTCCATCGCAATACATTCCAGAATGTTAAAAAGCTATCTTGATGGCCATTTTTCCTTTAAAAAGTATTTAACGGATGCAAGCCAGGTATATTTGTATATATGACATAGACTGTTTCATTTAAAAGAGCCACAAAAATCTATTATTATATGGGCTACAAAATCATCTCCATCAAATCTCAAAGTGGGAAGCTTAGTAGTATTATTTTTATCTTTTAATGTTTCATCTGGATAAATGTGCATTGTGTTCCGTAACCTATAAATTCTCATGACAGGTATCGGATAATTGGTAAAAATGTAAGAGATAGACCAAGTTGTAAAACTTCCAACAACTTTAGCTTATGAGGCAGGAAGTAAAGGAAATAGTAAGAAAATAGTAACCTTCCCTAATATAAGCTGCCACCCAGATCTTTGCCTAAAGAAAATTTGTTGATAGATCAAATCCCTAGGCCAAAGCTAGAAATCAATCTGAAACTAAAATCAAGACAATAGTAGGGTCCAGATTCTTTGTTCACTGAGTCATAGCTATCAAAAAACATGATAAAAGTTTCCTTCATAAATATATTAATGTAATTTTCCCAATTCTAATACTGTCCTCAAAACTTTTTAAAAATACAAAAGTCTCAAGAATAATAAAAGCACTGAAATAAAAATGTTTGCAATCCAGTTACAAAAGAGTTAAAATGCAATTGATTTAATTAAATTCCAGTCATAAGTAAAGCTGTACACCAAATCAGTCTTTTATTTATAAACAAAAATTAGGCCATATACGTTTCTCAAAAAATTAAAGGACGCACTGAAAAACATCTACAAATTTCCTAAGAAGCAGGAGCAATATATTCTACTCTAACAATTGAAGTCTTTTCCTTTATTGTATAGATGAAATAATCGCATTATTTAAGCCTCTGATTGTTTTTTAAAAGGTAACTTAAATGAAATGCAAGAAACACTCTAAAAAGTTACAAGGAGAAATAACCAGGAGCAGATGGCCCTTATACTAGACCTTCCACTCTAAATCCAGCATTTCATGCTGAACCCTATTCCCAGATTGCTCATCTCTAAAACATGATTTTGTGCCATTTTCCCACATAAATGTCTTTCAGTGGCTTCCTACTGTTGAATCAGTTCTAAGCCTCTGTCTGCTTTTCAAACATTCCAAAATAAAGCTCCATGACAGATAATCAGACTTATTTCTAATTACTCTCAAACAGAACTTCCTTAAAAACAAAATAAAAATGTACTTTATGGCTTATACAAAGTTCTTTTACATTTTTATTACATATAAATTATAACAGAGACAGTTATAGATAATTTACATTTTAATTAATCTTTATAACTTTGAGGTACTATTAATCTTACTTTATAGATGAAAAACAGAAAAGCTCAGAAAAGTTGATACCTCAAATCACATGGTCAGAGGCACAATTCAAATGGTTTATTTTACTCCAAGTCCACTGGGAAGCCCTTGACAAAGTGATCTTGTTCTCATTTCCATCTCCATGCGTCACTGGCTCCTTTCCTTTCTGCTAATCCAGATCTTCGCAAATCTTCCTATCATCAGCTTACATTTTACCTCTTCTAAGAAATTATCCAAGACCAGCAAAGCTTTCAATCATACCTCTTGGCATGAATGTGTTCTCTGCTGCATGTACTACATTGTGTGTCGTGCGGTAATGTACTATTATAATCTGAGGATTATATTTCCCTGATCAAATTGAGAACTCCTTGTTCCCTTACTGCTTCTAAAACCCCTACATTTGCTACTGTAATTAAACATATCATAAGTATGTTCATAAATATTTGGATACTGATTCAAATGCTTCCTTATCTTTTAATAGGAAAGAAAAGATGTACTTACAGCCTAACCAGATTAGTAAGTCCTCGAAATATGTCTGCATTCAGACATCCTATTCGATTGTTCGTCAGATCCCTAAGGAGGAGGGAGGAAAAAGTGTTTTTGATCAGTTCTCTTGGTTAATGAAGGTCTCATACATGCAATATTCAAGAACAGCAAGCAGGTTATCATACAACACCTTTTTTCTCCAGCATCTTTAAGATATTTACTTACTTCAAGTGAGATAAGGATAGCACTGACAGAGAAGATGATGCTGCTTTCACTTGCTTTTAGTCTTTCAGTGAAAGACTAAATGCTCTTTAATTACAATGCCCTCTATATTTCAAGCATTTACTCATTCAAAATTACTCAAGATAAAACTGGAATAATAAAAATGAGACTCAATCTATCTTGCTGTCTGCAATACAATTCCTTAAAAGACCTACACAGTTAATTACACTGGGCAGTTGGAGAACTGAGCCCAATCTCAGCCAGCAAATAACAGACAACAGACAAAAGGGCAAATTATCACAATGATGGAATGTTTATTTCCTCAAGAACATCTGAAACATAATCCTTTCTGCCTTCATTCCTTAAATACTTACAAGTTTTGATGGTAAGGAAAATTCAACCGAGTTAGCTTTTACTTTATAGATCTATTGTTTAGTCTCCAAGCCAAATTACTTTGATAATATCTACGTTATGGCCCAATAACTTTTCCAGTCACTTCTATTTCCTATCAAATGTTACTTTTGGAATATTTTTTCTTCTCTTCAGTGAAATTTTTTCCTTTTTACCTATATTGAAGTTTCAGTTAATATTTTACTCTATCTTTGTTCACTTATTTTGCTTTACATCAAGGACAATGAATGCAATTTTATTATCTTTACATTTAATCAGAGACCTGCACTGGTTTAAAAGTAAGAACTTTATGTTGGGAGATAA